TATATATATATATATATATATATATATATATATATATATATATATATATATATATATATATATATATGTATATATGTTTGATATCGTCATTCACGTGATGATTTTGCATTGCGTTTACATTTTCTGAGGATTCTTTGATCAATTTCCATCGGTTGTAGTATACGAGTATTTTGGAATCAATAGGCTAGTGCTAGCATTTTGAATTAAAAGTATCCACTTCGAATTTTGCAGAAAATTTGCAGACAGATGAATCGCCTGCTCATCACAAGGAGACTCATGGAAGACGTGATGATATTGACGAGAATACCTCGTTGGATGAAGTCGCCAAACGTGTTTGAGAGAGTAAAAGAGGAGATTGAGGCTCTGGTTGAAACGATTCACCCGAAGAAAGAGTCACAAATGTATGAAAGGAAGTTTTTATTCACTTATTGTGCAACTAAACTTTTAGGTTATAATTTCGTTAACTTTGACATTGGACTTGTGTAAATGGTAAAATCAAGATATTGCTTCAATAGGAAACAGTTGACCTTCTTTATAAATTTGTATAACTAGATTTCAATATTTATTGCTAGGTTTCGGCGTTCTTATGTTACTTGATTTTGTTCTTGGATTTAGGAGTTTATGTGGCTGAGTATGCGTTTTCCCACTAGATTTTGGATGTTTGGCGTTGGATCTTAGATGTTTTATGAATTGGTTTTAGGTCAACTTCTAGTTTTATTTCAAAGATGGTCTACTTATTCATGTTCAGAATTCAATTTAATGAAACTAAAATGAGCTTTTCATATATACATATATAAATCCTCGTGTTGTTTTCTGGTCGCAGGGATGAAGCTTCAGCAACGGATTCCATCGAAGAGAAAACAGAGTTCCTATTAGGTGGATTCTTTGTTTCTTATCATATTAGATTTTGCAATTCTGCAGTTGTATTCATATCTTTCTGCTTCCCTCTTTGTAAACTAGCTTATCTTGTTCATAAACAATGTGGACAAGATGGGAGATTGATTTATAAAAAGCCTCTAGACAGAAATAATTATGGAGTTTATCTTCTTCTTGTGTGTATGGATCAGATAGCACAGCGAAAGCAGCAAAAGTGATAGAAAGAGCAAAGGACGAGATTGAGAAGATATGGCACATTAAGAAGTCAAAAGAAACCCATGGCCATCGTGATGATATAGGAGAAGATACTCCAATAGATGAAGTCAAAGCTCCAAATTTATTTGAGCGGGCAGCAGAAGAATATCAGGCCCTTATCCAAACGATTCACTCTAAGTAAGAATCTCAGACATGGGATAAAAGGTTTTAATTGATTGTTTTTAATTAGTTTAGGTTGAGTAGTTATGAGATACGTTTAGTTTTCTTTCTAAATTATCTCATTTACTGCAATTCTTTTGAAGGAATGAAATTACCAATGCTGCATCTATTCTGAAGGAAGCAATGCCTCTCCCAGGTAATACAGTTTTCAAATTTGCATTCTTAGAGTTCTCCAAAGATACTGTTTATTTATGCTCTATTATAACTTTTGACCATGGTACTCTGGTTTTTTGAGATCCAACATCGGTTGGGGGGGAGAATTGAGCATTTTTTATAAGAGTGTAGAAACTTCTTCCTAGCAGGCGTGTTTTGAAATTTTTGAGGAAAAGCTTGAAAGGGAAAGCCCAAAAAAGACAATATTTCCTAGCGGTGGGTTTGGGTTGTTACAAATGGTATTAGAGCCCGACACTGGGTGGTGAGCCCCGAAGAGAGTGGACACTAGGCGATGTGCCAGTGAGAACGTTAGACCCCAAAGATGGGGGATTGTGAGATCCCACATCGATTGGAGAGGAGAACGAGTGTCAACGAGGACACTAGGCCTTGAAGGGGGGTGGATTGTGAGATCCCACATTGATTGGAGAGGAGGACGCGAGTGTTAACGAGGACACTAGGCCTAGAAGGGGGTGGATTGTGAGATCCCACGTTGGTTAGGGAGGAGAATGAAGCATTCTTTATACGGGTGTGGAAACCTCTCTCTATTAGAAGCATTTTAAAAACTTTGAAAGAAAGCCCGAAGGTTCCACATTAATTGGCCACTGGTTCACATTTATGGAAGATCCAAGTACAAGTAGATCCTCCAAGTTGTTGTTGCCTGATTGCCAGCAACTTGGTGTTTTCTTAGTATTACTGATCAATTACTTGTTTTATTCTAATGTAAAACAAAGTTGCAGCTATTTTGCTTCTAATGAGTTTCTTCGTGCGACAAATGATGCAGAAATGAGTTCAAATGAGAAAATGCCAATCAATGAAGTGAAAGGGCCAAATATTTTTGAGAGAGCAGAAGATGAAATGGAGGCACTTGTTCAAGGCATCCATGATAAGAAGGAAACTGATTCGCCAGGAAAAGAAGGATTTCTGTCAAAACTGGGAAATTGTTTGGAAATAATATGCTCTCCTTCAAAAAAGAAAGATGATTAAACCCCAAAGCAAGAATTTGACAATCAAGAATGATGGTTTGTTTTCTAATATTTTTCATCTGTGTATTGTTCGATTACTACACGAATGTTTGTAAGTCATCCACTTGTATTTCTGCATTATTGTATTACAGGAGCTTTGTACATTTCCATTTTGGGAACGAATGTATATCCTTTATAACTTTGTAATCTGGAGTTTGTAAGTTGTAATAAAAAAAAATGTTGGCAGTGGGTTTGAATGTTTAAATTTCATTCATACAACTTGATGATTGATAGACGATCACCGAAAAATCTTTTGCGTATAGTTTACAAAAATATTTATGCAAGATCTTAGATCATAAATGTTGAAATCCAAAAAATGATAAATTGGATTTCAAACCCGTAATTAGAATCAGTCCATAAGATATCTTGATTCTATCGGCTCCCGACTAAAATGCAACTTTCTAAAATTTCAATGCAACATGAATGATGGAATACAGGTTGTAACTTGGGTTCCAAGAACGGATTGATTGAAGGATGTTAGTTTGTTCGTGGTAATGATAGCGACTTTAGGAATCGATTAGTTAGAATTGGGATAAGTGTTCTTGTGGGTCGATGTCTCTAGAGGATTTGTCAATGTGGTGATAGATAAAAGGTTTGGAAATGGCATATGCTTTGAGAATCATATGCTTGACTCGCAAGTTACTTTAAGAACCCTCTCCAAAGTTCTTCACATCTAGCGATTCAAATTCCCGAGAAACCAAAACCCCTTATGGAAACTGCTAGTGTCGGGCTTAGATCGAGTGCCCCCGTTTTCAATGGCTCCCCTCGTCCTCTCTCCACTACCTTCTTGTCTTTTCGGTTCATTCAATCCAAAAAGCTTCGCAGATTTCCACATGATTTGTCTTGTACCTCTCGTCCAAGCGCCAAAAGCCAGAAATCTCAAGGCGGTGATCGCAATTTTCGTTCGAATCTCCGGAAAGCTCAGAGTGTTTCAGCGAGATTTGTAAATGGTGGATGGAATGGAAATTACTTACAGAGCGGGAGTTTCGGGATTGCTTTGATAAGCATTACCGCGACGGTGAAGCACCGTATTAGTCCGTTCGTTGCTACATTGGCGACGAATCCGACGTTTGTTTCGGGATTGTTCGCGTGGTTTTTTTCTCAATCGACGAAGGTTTTGTTGAACTTTTTCGTGGAAAGGAAATGGGATTTGAAGATAATGTTTGGTTGTGGTGGAATGCCTTCATCTCACTCTGCATTGTGCACCGCTTTGACGACTTCCGTGGCTCTTTGTCATGGCGTAGCGGACTCGCTTTTTCCAGTCTGCTTGGGGTTTAGTCTTATTGTCATGTATGATGCAATTGGTGTTCGTCGACATACCGGCATGCAAGCGGAGGTACAAAATCTTGTTTGTTTTACATAGAATTTGCTTAGAATAATCTTGAACTTTGAAGTTTCCTTTCTCAGATTGAGTTGTTTGAATATGTTGGTTAGTACTTAGTTCTGCTGCCAATCAATGGGGATCTTTTGCATTTATGGGCTTGCTTCTCTGTCTTTCTCTGTGTGTTGGGGAGGAGAGGCTGTATTGACATGGCTTTGTCTGCCTTCTGGTTCCTTCCTGTTTGGAGTTTTTGTTAGCTGTTATGCTTGGCAATGGATGGATGTTTTGGATTCTGATAATTGAGGAAGTAATGTCTTAGACTCGCTCTTAGTCTACCGTAACAGTCTAAGTCCACAACTAATAGAAATTGTCTGCTTTGGTCCTTCCCTTACGTATAAGGAATGTTCCACGCCACACCCTTATAAGGAATGTTATGTTCCCCTCTCCAATCGATATGGAATCTCAAAATCCACCTCCCTTTGGGGCCAGCGTTCTCGCTGGCACACCGCTCGATATCTAGCTTTGATATCATTTGTAAAGCCCACTGCTAGTAGATATTATCCGCTTTGACCCGTTATGTATCGTCGTTAGTCTCACGGTTTTAAAACGCGTTTGTTAGAGAGAGATTTTCACACCCTTATAAGGAATGTTTCGTTCCATCCCCCTCCTTGGGGGCTAGTGTCCTCACTAGCATACCATTCAATGTCTGACTTTGATACCATTTGTAACAATCCAAGCTCATTGCTAGCAAATATTGTTCGCTTTGGCCCGTTACGTATCGTCGTCAGTCTCACAGTTTTAAAATACGTTTATCACGGAGATGTTTCCACACCCTTATAAGGAATAGTTTGTTCCCCTCTTCAATAGATGTGGGGATCTCACATTCAGTGTCTAGATTTAGAGGTCTTTGGTGTCATGTTGTTTCCAAAGTCATCAAATGTTGTAAGCTTAGACGGTTATTTCATGAAATTTGTCCAAAACTTATTCTGACTGATGGCATGGTGGTATCATTGGCTTATGTCACTTGCATCTATCTTAATTTATGGTTTTTATAGAGAAAGTATCATGTCATAAACGTTTGACTTTAATGACATGTAAGGACAAAAAGATTGAAACCTTTGTCCTCTTGTGTTCGAGAATATATGACTTAATTAGTCATAATAAGCAAGGTATATTGTTATAAAGATTTGGAGTGAAATGGTAATGCAGGTTCTTAATCTGATCGTTGAGGACTTGTTTGAAGGCCATCCCATAAGAAAAAGAAAGCTGAAAGAGCTGCTTGGGCACACGCCATTGCAGGTCCTTGCTGGTGCTCTGCTAGGCATTGTGGTTGCTTGGTTCTGTTGTCAGGGCTCCATCATCCCACCTACAACTTCTTGATCCCATGGCAGCTCCTTTTCACTATGGAAATGGCCCATTTTTTTTGCCTTCTAATTTACAAATGGCATCATAACTTTATAGCTTTCTTCTTTGTTCATAGTAACCCTAATCAATTTCATTTCTAAAGAAATAGTGGAAGCAATGAAGACCTGAATTTAATTTTTAATAGATTTCATAAGTTAAAAACAATAAATAAAGACTATTTAAGTCCAAATCTTCTTTTTTTTTTTTTTTAATTTCCCAAATAAATTTATTTTAGTTCTATCCTTGCACCATCAAGATAAGGGTGATGTTTTGATAGTGCCCTTCAAATAATTAGGAAAGAATCGCATGAATCTTTCCTGTAGCGTTGAGACAGTTTAGAAGCTACAAGAAATCGTTCGAATACTCTAAAGACCATCAAGATTGAATGTAAAAAGATGGTTCTAATGATGATTATTCTTTGTTGTATGGTTCATAAGAGTTGGGATTGATTTAATATAGAGTTTTCAGATACATTTAAGTTGTACGTTACAACAGGTGCTATTGGGTAATGACTCATAATGTTCCTTATCTTTTCGTAATTAATAATACATTCAAACTATTGTCTTTCAGCGATAGTTAAGAAAGATGGTGTTGGTTCTTCTGTCTGAATCAGATCTAGATCTGCCCGATGATGTAGTCGAAATGATCATCGAGAGGGTAACGATGAGCCTATTATAACTGTGTTGCTACTCTTTGTTCCCAAAACTTTAGTTTGCTTGAATTTGCTGCTCATTTTGCAGACTTTAACTGAAGTAGATGGAAAGGGTGATGGTAAGATTGATGAGGAAGTGTGGAAGGCATATGCAGCACGAAATTCTTCTCTACTGAAGCATATCACACAAACATCGAACCATATCTGCCATTGTCTGAATGATAGCAGGGTCTCTATGGTGACATAAAACGCCTGTTTTATCAACTAATACAAGTTCTCTTTGCTTACAGGGACATGACACTAACATTTTAGATCTGATCTAAAGGCTTGATCTCAAAATCTTTGTTTTGAAATAAGATGGCTGAAGCAATGTAACCATTTTTTTTTTTTGCAACCGTCGAACCCGATCAGTTTACGTACCTCCACCTCCACAAGTGCATGAAACAAGATGAGAACCCAGGAGAGTTTTCCATCAAAAATGCTGTCCAGGATCAACCATTCCAGCCCTAAGCATCGTCGGATGGTCGGAGTCGATCAGCGGGAATGTGCAACTTATATTTATGTCATGGCTTCTAGTCATTTTTTCTTCAGTTTCTTTAACTTTCGTTTTGATTTTCCTCTGAAAAGAAAGTGAACAATCAAGAAGAGATTACTTCACAAAGTGAAAGCCAAGTCAAACAAACCATTTGAAGTATCATATATATATATATCAAGGATCAAAAGGTACCTCCTTTTTGGTGTGTTGCTCAAACCAAGTACACCATTCATTAAAGAACTAATATCTACGGAACGCTCCTTCATGATCATATCATGGTACATTTTGCTACCGATTTCAGTGATTTGTTCCTCCACTTCTTCCAGCGTTTGATCCACATTGAGCTTAAGCTCACCTTTTCTAATGACTGTGACACCGAAACCATTTGCTTTGGCTTCCCGAAATGCATCCTTGCAAATTTTTTTACAAGACAGAAACACGGTTATGCAAGTAGAATCGATAAGATATCCGGATGTCAACAAAACGAAAAGAAAGAAAAATACATACGACATATGACATACGGTCGTCTCAATAGTTGACGATCACAAAAAGAGATTAATCAAACAGAAAGATTGTCTATGCACACACAGTAACTTCAAAGAAATGATTTAAGTACCACAACAACCTGCAAATTATATAAATTCACAATGATTGGAGAAATCCCAAGTTTTGTAAGTTCCACAAAAGGATATTGGTTCAGTAAGAACAAACGTTTGCTAGATCATTCAGATTATCCATCAGATGATTAAAGGGAAATAAGTACAGCCAATGCAAAATGTCATTAGCCACTTTCGAGTTCGTCAAATGTATTAGAAAGCTTGAAGCTCGAAAACAAATAATTCCATACCTTAGGTGGACGTGCAACAAGAAAGGCATGGCCAGTCCCCAACATTTCCAGATGAGATTGAATGATATAGCAGAAGTTTTTGCAATCACCAGCATCCTCAAAAGCAATAACATGGCAAGGCTTTGGCTCAAGTTCAAGATCTTCAGCCATCTCCAAGGAATAGAATCCTACTCTCTGCTCTCCATCTTGCACCGTATACAGTTCGATGCACTGTAAAGTTAAATGAAGTGTTCAAAATCAAATCACAAAGAAATTTAAAGTGAGCACGTGAAAATTAAAGTGGGATAACATCGTAAGTTCAGTTTTAATCATACTCACAAGTACATGGCGAAGATCTAACCACCACAAATAATCTTCTTCCTTTTCTTCTGCATACTCACGGTACTTGCTAACGACAGCCTGTGGTCCGAACATTTCCATTTCTCTTTTGAGCTTGTTCAATTTCTTTTCCATGAAGTTTTTATTCCTCTCAGGCAACTTGTCCATTAACTCGGCAGCTTCTTGCACTTCTTTCTCGGTAATCCACCGATCTAAATCTTTTCCAATATCCTTCATAACAGATTTAACTTCTGGATCTGTCTCTGCATTATAAGATTCCAAAAATCCCTGGGACCATTTCTTTGTGTGTTGCCAAAATTCCTTCCCTGATTTTTTACCACGTCTGATGGATCCATCACTACTTTCTATAATTGTCGTAGAATCTTTCCGTTCTTCGTTATGAATTGCCATATTGGGATCATTGATATTTTCAATGCTACCATCGGGATTAGAAGACTTCTGCTCGTCTTTATTCGTAGAAAGAGGCAGACCAGCTTTCATAGCGAAAATTTCCTTTCTTTGCTCCAGGAAGTCATTGATGAACTCAGGGTTCTTTTCTAAAGGAGGACCCTTCCAACGGGGAATGATTTTTTCGGGTGGATCGTATATACTGATGCCATCTAGAGAAAAGAACATAAGGGGGAATCAGGATAAGAACTATTTAACATAAAAAGCTCAAGAACATTGAAATACCTGCTCCATAGTCGAGATTTTCAATGCTGGAGTGGAGCCACTTATGCAACTTCAACAGCTTTTCATTCTCTCTCTCGACTTTCTTCTCAAGACCCTTGAAGAACGTACGCTTTTCCTCTGGATCCATTGAATAGAATGGATCTCGGTTCGATAGTTCATTTTCTCTAACCTTAAAAACAATATCTCTAAGGTTGTCGTCCTTCATCCACTCAAGCTCCTCTTCATTGTCATTTTCATACGTAAGTTGTGCAAATGTAGAAATGTCATCAGATTGCTGTTCACCTTTCTCTCTAGCAACCATATAGTTATCTCTAAAGCCAACTCCAATCTTCTTAACAAAAGGCTCAAGTTCATCAAAATTATCTTCCATCCAGTTCTTTGTTTCTCCATACGGCATGGTTTCTGCATCACGATCATTGCTTTCACGATCCAAGGACTTGTGGAGCTCTTGACTGCCGCCTACTGAGGGTCGTCCTTCCACAGAACTTTTAGAGCGGTCATCCTCGAGCGAGATGGTACTTTTATCACTGTGTGCTGAATCAACATTGTCACTAATCAAAGATGACGAATCTAATGCCTCAAATGAAAAGGTAGATTTGAACAGTATATTTTCTGAATCTGCTTCCTTGTTCACCACATTTTCCAATGTGTTATCATTTGAAAGCCCTGGAGCAGCAGGACATTCTTGTGCAGTTATGCCTTGAATTTTCTCATCAGGCATTTGTTTTCGTTGTTTTCCAGCGAGATACTCCCTAGCTTCCTTCACTGTTCTCAAGATTTTTAGTTTCTTTTGTTCGGAATCTGTTTTTAGTTTCTCGGTATCACAGTAAGTTTCAGATTGCATTGTATCCATAACTCCTAAAGAAGTCTTACAATCTTTAACATCCCATGAGGTACTATAGCCATTAAGTGGCACTTCCACGCTTGACGTGCTAGACACTTGCAAATCCTTTGTCTCTTCAGAAGCTACACTGTGTGGGAGCTCACTCTCAACACTTCCAAGCATATGCTCATCCTGTGCTAAAACATCAGCCGGAAAACAGGAACCTTCATCTGTATGTTCAACGATGTCATCTTCGTTTGGCAATTTTCCATTCAAGAGATTGCTTTCATCAGAAACAGAAAAGGGGTCTTCTCGTGCCTCAAGTTCCCGTGCATCGCGTGCCATCTCTCTTATTTCCTGAATTTTGTTACTCAAATCTACAACACTTTCATTCCGAACCTCCGTAGACTCAACTAAAACTAGATTGGTAGCTGACGCTTTCGATTTTTCTTTTGCTATAGTACGCATAAGTTCTTGCTTATCTAATTTGGGCTTTTCAAATGACACCTTGGGTGGTTCTGCACGTTCATGAATAACTTCAACTCTACCATTCTCCAACACCTCTTTCCCCTTTCTAGATTTGATCTTTCTCCTCATCATTTCCTTCTCGAATTCGCTATACTCAACCTCCTCCTTTTTGAAAGTGAACAATTTCTTCAAAGAAAAAAGTAAGAGAAAACTACATAGAACTAAACCCCCAGCTCGTGAAAACTTGGTAAAAACCTCAGGCCTAAAACTGAAACCCTGAGCAGCATTCAGAACAGTAGACTGATCATCTCCTTCAATTACAAACTTGGCGACTGAACTATTCCTTGGAAGCACATTCTTCCCACTCTCCATTTCTCTTGCAATCCTTCTCGCAGCCGAGATTTTATGGTTCACTCCATTTGTGTCATCCAAATCAACTCTCTCAACTTGGGTTCTCGCTAAAATTTCATCCTCATTAATAGAAACCCATTTGACATTCCCATCTGAGTCTTGAAATATCGTGAATATAGGACCAGAACCAATCCCCCAAAACTCAATATCTTGCTTATATTGATCAACCCAATTCTCTAATCTATTCCACAAAACAGATTCACCTAAACCTTTCGGTTTTGTTTCAACAGTATTATCACTAACATCACCACCAACACGACTGGCAGTCTCACTATGATCAGAAATTCGTTCACGCAATTGAAAATCAGGATTTGAATTGTCGGGAATGGGAATTCGACGTACCTGTTGCTCCTGGGTGAGTTTCTTCCGAAGCGAATTGCCGCGTCTGGTGGGACGATGGAAATTAGCGAAAACTATCAAGTTGGTTCTACATCTTGGAAGATTAAAAGTTGAGTATCTGTAAAATTTGGAGGCGGGTGGTTGAATCCTGAATTGGGTTTTGCTATGCCAATTTAGAATTGGAAATTTGGCAGTGAAGAGTGAAACGGAAGGAGTGGTTATTGAAGAGGGAGAAGAGAAGATGAGCGAAAGAAGCTCCATGCGAGAAGGAAGGATTCATAAGAATGAAGAAAGAAAATGAGGAGTAATGTGCAGAGCGAGAGGTTGAGCAAATAGGGAATTAGCTAAAACCCCTTGCGCTCCACATCAGCACGATGGCGCCTCCTTAACGACGTCGTTGGATACTCCATCTTACCCTTATGCTCCATGCGCCAAAATGAAAAAAAGAACATAAATCTAAATTAATAAAAGTATCTATAAACTTTGTAATTTGTCTGCAAAATATCTATTAATTTTCAAAAGAATTGTAGAAAATACTTTTTATTTTTTATTTTTTTTATGTAAGCCGTTAGTTATTTGTTTAAAAAATATCTTTAAATTTTTTTAAAAAAATAAATTTTAAAATGAGTATTAACACTTTCTACTCTAAGAAGAAAAAAAATCCTCAAAAAGTTTTTACTATTAATAAATGAACGGAAACCATATCCTAAAAAAGTTTTTACTACTAATATATAAACAGAAACCATTGATTGACACTTCATAAATTATATCCGAACTTTTTAACGTTATTTTTAAAAATTCATTAGTAGTTTTGAAACGTGTTATTAACCGTAAATGTATTTTTGAAGTTTTGAAAAAAAACATAACCATAGAAATATTTAAAATTAAATTATAAGTTTACTAATTTAAAAAAGAATAGAATTTTTAAATATTGAAATTAGTCATTTAGCCGATTATAGAAAACATTTCATAAAATTATATTAAATCATAAATATAAAATTATAATTTCTTCAATTTAACCGTAAAATAAAAATATTTTTTACACTAACTTTGGGCCTAATAAAAAAACGTTTGACTCGGCTTAATTATCAACTCGACCTTAATTTATTTATTTAAAATAAGACACTAATTTCACAGCAAGGTAAAGATAGAAGAAGTCAAGTAAAATAGTAAACGTTAAACGACACCGTTTTGAGTCATATACTCCTTTCTCCTCCATTTCTTCTGATACAGCTCAGCTAGTTTGTTTAAACCTTTTCCTTTTTTCTTTTTCTTTATTTTTAATCATCACGTCTGAACTGAAAAAAGGAAATGGACAGACGGCGGCGGAGGATTTTCCCGGCCTTGCATTACGTCGGTTCGTCGACATCAGGCACAACCACGAGGGGAGAATCCGACCCGAGAACCCGCCAAATCGTACACGACCCGGAATCCTTGCTGCTGAATGTTGCCGATGATGGACAGCCCACTGGTCGTTCCAGCGAAGGCGAAGCAGAACCTCCCGTTGTCGTCCACCGGGATTAGATAATTGGACGCCGGTAACGACACGTCAGCGCCTCTGAAATGTAGCACCACCGTCGGAACCTTTACCGTCGTTTTCCCGGATAAGTCGTAGCAAGTATCGAACAGAGAAAACTCAGGGGCCAATTTCAAACTCGAGGCTCCAGCACGGAAGGCGTCGCGCAAGGCGATGTACGCCGGTCGGTTTAATCGAGTGACGGAGGTACCGCAATCGATGATGACTCCACCGTTTCCGTTCGGATCGAGCTTGAAATGTGAAGCGGAGATGCCGGAGACAGGCGTGCCTCCGACGCTGATCCCTAACAGTTCGACATAGTAAAATGTATCCAGCCTAGGGTTTGTGAGAAGAGGAGTGAACCGGGCGGTTCTAGATACGGCGGAGTCGCCGAAAACGACGGAGGACGGTTTGGAAGAGGCGGATCGGTCCACCAAGCAGTAGGAGAATTTCTGATTGAAACTCCGGCCAGCTTGCGACGGAAATGACAATCCTCCCCGACCGAGACCTAACAGCCCCGCCGCACCAACGAATAAGCCCTCATTATCGTGGCCGCAACCTAGGGCTACGCGCTCCACTTTAGTCCGCCGGAAGGTTAGGGTTTCGGTGACGAATTCACCAGTCGTATAAGAACCGTCCCCGTAAGAAACCTGGTAGAGACACGTCTGCTTCTGGTTGCACCCCGGAGATTCGAGCCGGAGACAAAGCGGCGTTCGGCAAAGAACCTTGGAGTAGGATCTGGACTTAACCGGGTTGAAAACCGGGTCGGTCTGAGAGTAGCAATTCTTACAGGGAGCGCACTGTAGCCAAACAATATCGCTACCAGTGTCGAGAACCATGTAGATATACTTGGGCGGCGTGCCAACGCCGATGCGCGTGAAGTACTCGCCGCTACCCTGAGCGAGTCCCGAGATCACTGAGCTACTGAACCCGGTGGTCCCGTGGCTGGTCCCACTAGCTTGGCTAAGATTCTGAGAGCCACCACTGAGTGAACTCAGTTTCGTGACTCTGAGAGCGTCTCTCTGAAGGCGGAGATGGAAGAGCTCCTCCGGCGTTCTGTTCAGAGACAGAGCATCCAAATGGTGAAGCTGCAACTCTAAGCCGGCCTCCGAGGAGATGAAAGACTCGGAATCGGTGGCGGATTCAGGCGATAAGAGCGAAGGTGAGGCCGGAAGAGATTTGGGAATAAGGGTTTGGAAGTCGGAGAAGGCGGTGGAGAGAGAGAGAAGAGTGAGAAGAAAGCCGATAAAGGGGAATGCACTGGTTTTTGCCTCCATTTTTGAGAGTGCGGGAGGTACGAGTTCCGCACAGGTGTGGGAGTATAAATAAAAGGAGCATAAAGAATTAAAGTGGACTTTAAAAGTTTTATTTTTTACTTTTAATTTTTTGGGAGTCGAATTATCATTGTATAATATATGTTAAATTAATATCTATATATATATATATACTTATTTAATACTACAACTTTAAATTTTAAAAATAATATTATTTTAGTTCTAGGTAGAGTAGTTTATTTAAAAAATATTTTTAAAATTTTTAATTTTTTTTAATATTTTTAAACTTACTGCAATATATATATATATTAAAAATATTAATATGAACGAAAATCATTAAAACAACATTAAACTTTCAAAAATTATATTAATATTTTAATTTTTAAAAAGATTAAAATTTTAAAAATTTCTTTTAAAAAAAATAATACTTTTTCCCTCTACTTTTCGATGCCTTTACTTTCATTCTTCCATTTTTAATAAATTTTAGAATTTAAATATGGTAATAAAATTAGATTTTAATTAAATTTAATATTGTTGGTTAAATTATAATTTAATCCAATAACTAATTCATATTTATTTAGTTATTAAACATAAAATTTAAAATTTAAAAATATATTAGATATTTTTAAAATTTAAGTGTAGCGATTTATTGATCAATCATAATAGTTTTTTTTTTCTTTTTCTTTTTAATTCAATAATTATAAATATAAGAGATTGAGTCATCCATTTTTTAAATATATTTTATTTACTGAGTTATATCTGGTATTGAAATTTTGATGGTGGTAATTAGTGAGTGGAATATTAACTCTTTTTGTATTATTGTAAAAAAGTCAAAAAGATTAATAAAATTTCTCAAGAAAAATATGACAGGAGAGGTGGGGGTTAGGGGTGGAGCCACAAAGCAAAAATGGGAAAGATACCCATTATTGGGGGAAGTGCTGTGACTGAGGCCAAAGGTAGCCGGTAATAGTAGGCGAAATGACGAAAAACCCCTTGCAAGTTATTTCAACTTACAATATACTCCTTACTTTCTTGCCTTTTCTTGTGTTTAATTTTAATTAATTCAAATTACAACTCATTTCCATGTCCCATTTTCTACCTTTTCTTTTTCTAAATAAATAATCTAAAAATAAAAAAATAAAAAATAAAAAAGCATTTTTGCTGTTTGAATTGAGATCAAGGAAATGATCATTTTTTTAAAAAAATTAATAAAAAAATATTTATTTTTTATTCGAAACAAAATTTGGAAGACCGAACATCAGAATGAGTTATTCCTGTAGTTTTCGTATACTCTTTTTGTTAATACATATATTTATTATATTATAATGTATGGAATTAACCTAATTAATTATATTAAAATTGATGAATTATATAAAGTTTAAACATAAATGGAGATAAAATTTATGGCTTATATTCATAATTAGTTAATTTTGTGTTAACATAAATTTTAATGTTAGAGTACGTGATCTAAAACGAGCTGAAACCGTCTTAAAACAATTGGAATCACTTAACTCGAAAAACGATGAGATAGGCATGAATTCATTTATATAAAGTTATCCAAAAAAAAAAAACAAATGAATTCATGAAATTCTTGCTCTTGATTTTCTATGTATTAAAAGATTTCTCTATCCACCCAATTCTCATAAATATCCTACACAACTTGCATTCCCACAAAAATTCAATGTCAAAATTATGATTTTCTTTATCACTTTATTTATTTATATATATGAAAATATCGGTAGAGAAACGAAACATTCTTTATAAGGGCGTGGAAACTTCTCCCTATCAAACACATTTTAAAATTGTGAGACTATATGTAACAGGATAGAGTGAACAATATCTACTAGCGGTACATTTAGGGTCGTTACAAATGGTATCAAAGTCAAACACTAGGGGGTGTGCTAGCGAGGATGCTAGCCTCCTAGGGAATGTTATAAGATCCCACATCGATTGGAAAGGGGGAACGAAACTTTTTTTTTTATAAGGGTGTGAAAACCTCTCCTCAGCAGACTATTTTAAAACCATGAGGCTAACGGCAATACAAGTAGACACGTTTTAAAACTGTTTGTATAACAAGACGAACTTCACTTTAATTCAACTAATTAAATTATATATTATTGAAGTTAAAATTCGATTTATTAACTTTAAAATAATAATAAATGTTAGTTGTATTTAAATTCAACTAAGTTTCTACCGTATTTTTTTGTCGTCAATCCCTAAGCTTTTAAAGACGGGCTCGAGCTTGAACTTAGACTAATTACGCGCATGTAAACAAAAATCCAACTCAACTGGATCAGACCCTTGCCTCGAAAGAATTCACACTTGGTCACTAGCTTTCTCCTTTAATTTGACAATAAAACTAGGTTGTTGGTTGTTTTCCACTCACCACAAAGATAATAAGGACTCTATATTTCATTTTTTGGTACCATTGTTGGAGTGATGAGAACATGTTTCAAAGTACTGATTCGTATGAAATTAGCACGACCGACGATCAGATTCTTGGGGGCTAATTCCATGTTTGGTAGTCCGACTGTGTGATGTTAATTGTAGTTATATCCAATGAAATTGTAGTGATCCGTATGGAATAGATTTTGAACCAGTTATTATCTCCTAGATTTTGTTGAGCAAACAAGTGTCGATGTGTTTATTGCGTTTGTGAAAATACTGGATTCTTCATTAATGCAATCACATATTTGATGTCGACGTAGAGAGTTACCGACTTTAACTCACTTTCGGTCACTTTGCTCGATTAAATTTTTAGCCACAATACTTGGCACATAGTGTTGCAGTTGCTGCCATGAGCTCCACCTCACAGGAAGGTAGTGCCACAACTCGCTTTTTTTAGATTACTATGTGATCAAATTTTCGTTGAGATAAAACATCATTCTGTCGTTTGCTTTTTCTATCACCAATGTCTTTGGCTAAATCACTGTCAATAAGATGGCCTAGTTCTTCAGGTCCTCGCCATGTTTGATACTTTAGCTTGCAGTTTGTGGTTTTTCTTCACATAGCAATGAATGTGTTTGATCACTTGACGATACATCATAGTAAACTTATTTATGTATCTAGTAATCATTCTGACAATATATAAAAGATTCGGACCAGTATGAGTCAGGTATCTTAGACTTCCAATGACTCGCCTATATTTGGTGGGATTCAGCAAGATTCCTTTAGCGTATTTCCCGAGTTATAACTTTGCTTCCACAGGCTACTTGACCAAGTTGCATTTCGTCATCTTGAATTGCTACAGTACCTTCTTAGCATAGGTCGATTGCTTTAGCATGATGCAACCTTTCTTCTGGTCCACCTCCATATCGAGGTAATACATGAGTAATTCCAAGGTGAGTCATCTCAAACTCTTTATCATTTGCTGCTTGAACTCTTTGATGCCTTCTCCACTTGTCCAGCAACGATCAGGTCGTCAACGTACAAGCCAACTATGAGTGCTTCAGCTCATAACTTCTTGTATACACCGCTTATTGTTGCGAGAATTTCATGAAATTGAGACTCTTCAAGCTCTTGTCCAGGCATATGTTTCATGCCCTCGGTGCTTGACGTAAACCATAAAGAGCCTTTGACAACTTGGACACTTTCTGCTCTTTGGTTTTGACGACGAAACCTTAGGGTTGGGCAACACACACTTCCTCTTGGAGGTCACCATTTAGAAATGTCAGTTGATGTCCAAGCGATAAACCTCCCGCCCGTGTTGAGTTGCAAGGACAATAATCAACCTCACAGTCTTGCTTTGTGTTTGATGATTTTCCCTTCACTATTTTTCTTCAACTTAAACACTCATTTCAAACTGATGGGTTTTGTGATCGAACAGTAAGTCGGTGAGTGCCCACATCTTGTTCTTCTCAATAGTTTCAAGCTCCTTTTGCATGGTCTCTTGCACATTAACTCAGTTGTTAACTCCTCGGCAACGAGTAACATTAGCTTGTTGGGATCCAACTCTTTTTCGTGTGTAACTAAATAAATTTTAGTAAGAGAACAAAATTTCTTTGTTCCTCCATCTGTTGTGGATCCTCCTCTGCTCTTGCTTGTGCTCCCTTGATATGAAATTTGGTGTCACGGGTGATGGCTTGTGTGGATTTGTTAGTGTTGATGTCGGTGCACTTTCTAGGTCTGCCTCATCTCCATCATCAATATTCTTTTTATTGTCACTACACCAACAAGCTTATCGATTTTGGTTTCTATCACCACGGTTCTTAATATGTGACCCTGCAGTCTTGACATGAGTTGTACAATCGAAAACTCTTAGAGGCTCGAAGTAAGATTTTTATATTAATTTAACCTATTTATTGATAAATATGAAAATAAAAATAAAAAATAGAGAAAAATTGGTATGGATCTAACAATGGAGTCTGAATCCATTAAGCCCAATGGTGGAGCCTAATATGCTAAATAATTAAAAATTAAAAAGGAAATAAATAAATAAATAAATAAATAAACCTTTCGTTATTTTGCCTCTTCAGAATTTCTCCAACCGCCGTCGAAGGCCAAGGCGAACGGAGTTCTCTACAAATTACAGCACTTCCAATCGGAGACGGCCGGTTTCATTTTTCCAGCCGACTGAACTTCACCAAGAAACGGCCGGAGCAGTTTTCCATTTCTCTTTCAACTCCGGTATTTTCTTGTTTTCAAGAAACATGGACAATGAAACCCGACGGAGAATCAAGGAAACGGTGATTGACTTATTGAAGATATCGAACATGGAAGAGATGACGGAGTACAAAATTCGAGCCGAGGCCGAAAAACGGCTCGGAATGGATCTCTCCGATATTCAATGCAAGTGCCTGGTGAGGGACGTGGTCGAGGACTTTTTACATTCATTTACGGAACGTGATGATAAGGGAAAAGAGGGAGAACCAGGGCCTAGTGATCGTTACGAGAATAAAGCGACGGAGCAGGAGATAGTCCGGAAGAAGGAGATTAACGCTGATGTTGACCGTGTGATTTGCCAGGTAAAGCCTTGCCCTTCTTGATTCTTGAGAAAAGTTGTTGTGAATTTGAAACCGGAAAAATTGGGATTTTGCGTATATCTTGTGAACTTAGTGAATTGAACTTCAGTGCAATGGAGCTTGTTGCCCTTCTTAGAATGCTTCCGAAGCTGGTTGTATATGTTCCTATGGCTAAATTGTTATAATTCCTTGCTCGTGATCATTATACTATAGTCTTTTGTTACTGAACTGCACCAAAAGGTTAGATTGTGGATGAAATTCCGGTGTACATTCTCTGGCATTTGTGCATTATGATGTAAATTATTGAATCCTCTATATTTATGATTCTAATAACTAAAGAAATGTACATTTAGACAAGATCTTTACAGCACTGCATCCTTTCAAAATTTTAGTTTTTGTTTTTAGAATTGGACAAAAAAAATTCAAATGTTTATCCAACCTAATTAAAAATTATAGTAAAGAAATTATGTATAAATTTCAAAAACAGAAAGGTAAAGTAATATTGTTATCAAATAGAGACATAGTTGTTAAAATTGTCCATTACAAATTTTACTCTGTATGAAACATGATCCACATATAATAACCAGTCTGCAATATTATGATTTAGTAGCTAATGATTTTCGGGTTTCTTTCAGCTATCTAATAACAGGAATGTGACAGTTCATGAATTTAAAGGGAACGCTCTGGTATCAATTAGGCAGTATTATGAAAAAGATGGAAAACAGCTTCCTGGTATTAAAGGTGGGCACTATGCATTGGTCTCTTCATTTCCTCTTATGGTGAATCTTCTTATTTTGCCCTGACACACCCTAACACATTTGGCTGAGGTGATGTGTTGGAAAATTTCTGGGAACTCGATTCTCTTGTATCATGTGAGTTCTGTTAACTTCACTTACCTTCCCCCTCCCCCTCACCTGTTCTCTTTTGACCCTTTACTTTATGGCAGGGGTGGGTTGAGAGTGTCTTGCTTCTATTATGAACTCTAACCATGTGAAACGCGATTAGTTAACCAGTATTTAATATGATTCCAGCTGCTGTTGATTTTGATTTAGACCTGTTGGGTTGGGAGTTTCTTTTGATTGGGTCTGAACGACCATTTCATCTCGTAGTCCTATAAGCCCCCCTGTTTTTATCGAAATTATGATTCATGTTATTTTTGTCCATATTGATATTTTAATTGGTAGGAATCAGCTTGACAACTGAACAATGGTCTGCCTTTAGGAGTAATATTCCTGCTATAGAGGAAGCTATTTTGCAGATGAAAAGGAAAATAAAAAGGTGAGAACCATGTTGATGTTCTTTGATACTACTGTATTGAGCCTGCTAGTTATAGTTCATCAAATTTATTTCATTAACAAGAAAACTCCAAAGTTTTATGCTATGTTTTCAGGCGTTGGTGTCCAAATGTAGATTCCAAAATTTTTATTAATGTTTTCATTCTTCAAGTTGTCTTGTTGGAGGATTTAAATTTGAGGACAAAAGGTGTATAGTTGAAATAACTGACCATATCATATCTTGTAGATCTGAACACGATGCTAATACAAGTGGTGCTGTCTCCGTACCTGCTACTGGGTCTGCTCCTAAATTTCCATCTGAAACTATTCGGTTTGATGGAAAAAACTACCGGGTATGGGCACGCCAGATGGAGTTTTTGCTGCGGCGCTTAAAGATTGCTTATGTACTTTCTGATCATCGTCCTACTTCCATGCTTGGACCGGAATCTAGCTCTGGAAATACCTCTCGATCCAAGGCATCTGAACAGGAATGGATGAGTGATGACCACATGTGTCGCCACATCATTCTGAACTCCCTCTCCGATAGTCTTTTTCATAAATACACGAAGAGAACAATGAGTGCCAGAGAACTCTGGAAGGAGCTAAACTCACTTTATCTTTGTGATTATGGAACCAGAAGATCTCAAGTTAAAAAATATCTGGAATTCAGGATGGTCGAGGAGAAGTCAATATTAGAACAAGTTGAAGAACTTAATAACATTGCTGAATCCATTATTTCAGCTGGAATGCGGATTGATGAGGATTTTCATGTTAGCGCCATTATTTCGAAGCTTCCACCCTCTTGGACAAATGTCTTTGTGAAGTTAATGCGTGAGGAGCATCTTCCCTCTGTGGTGTTGATAGATCGATTGAGGAATGAAGAAAAACTACGTACACAGCAAAACTCACATCGCTCAGGAGGCGAACGTCCTTGCATGAATCACAGGCGAAAAATGGGAGACCAAATGTCCCAAAGCCTACCGTCGAGGAAAAGGGAATGGAAAATGGATGTCAAAACTTTACTCTGCTTGAATTGTGGCAAGGAAGGACACATATCTCGAGATTGTCCGAGTAGTAAGTAGGAAAGTCGATAATGAAGTAGCTCATTAAAGAACACAGCAGTATCCTACTGAGGTAAGCATGTCTGAGGATAAAAATAGTGTATTCACATTTAGATCCCACCCCTCTTGACTCATATGTTCTTTTAAAGCATGGAATACGATAGTTTGAAATTTCTAACAATTTTCATTTCTCAGAATCTGTCAAGCGCTTAGGGGGCTTTCAAAGTGCGAAATCAAGGTTCTAAGCGATGTAAGTGCATAACTAGCTTATAATGTTGTTGATTTTAACGTAGTTATACATTATCATCCTCGTTCTTGAAGCTTATGTTAGCGTCTTTGCACTTTTCTGTAGGATTTTTTTTTTTTCCTTCGTAGGAACCACTTTAAGGAAGATCATTGGAGAGGTCTGACTATAATCTACTGTAAGTTGATAGCTTCCTACTGGAATGTATAATGAGAAGAGATGATGAATCCATAATCTCCTAGTTTGATTAAAGATGAGCTTGTTAATTATCACCGTTCTGCAGTGTTGTTAGGGTTATTATCAGGATAGATGTTAGAAATAGTAGGTTAAATTATACCCTTAAATTTTGGGTTAGGTTTAAATTATGCACCTGGACTTTGAAAAGCTTCATTTTTTACCCCTAAACTTGATTTTATTTTCGTTAAAATAGGACTGAAATTGATACGAAGCATAATTGGAAGTTATCTCAAGAGATTAGGAACATTTTATATAACTTAACCAAAACATTATTAGGATGTATTAGTTGGTAGCTAGTTAGTTAAGGAGTTTCTCAATGGGGGAAGCAGTGGAAGGGATGTAGGAGGCATTTCTTTATACGTTAGGACTTGGGTTTGTTGGAGAGGGGAGGTGTCCAAGTACCCCGAATCACTGTATTTGCTCCGTGTCACCATCACATTTTTTCAGCAACACTCCCACCAACAAGTAAGTCCACCCACTCAAATTTGCGTCGCTCATGCCACTTTTGAAAACAATTTTAGAAGGTAAGGTTATAGGCTAGCAAGCAAGGGACAACAATGACTTGTAAAACTTCGAGGAGGAATAATTGATGACTTGGCAGAAATAAACTTGAATTTTGCGAGTAGTCATAGTAACAGGTTTTGGAGTGGGTATGTAGTTGTGTGTAACACGTTTTGGACAAGCATGACTGTGACACTTCGCACCCTTCATCTCTTATGTTCTCCATAAGTCTTCTCATCGGTAATGAAACCTTTGTGTTCTCACCAACAAAGGATTACCCAAAAGGAAGATAGATAGATGCCTCTCTTTTACCAAAAAAAGAGTAATCTTTTAATGAAAAAGTAAAAAAGAGAAAATAAAAGAAAGCATTTGTGCCCCAAAATTGGCCCTATTTTTCAGGGTTTGGATTGAGTTAAGTCCACACGCAATGAATTACTATACTAATTTATGAGATGCTTTAAATGTCTCTGTCCTTCATTATTCAAACCATTTTCTTAGCCCACATTTTATTTATTTATTTATTTATTTGGAGTTTAGGCCACATTTTTTTCAATGCAAATATAAACAAATGGGAGACTTTTGAGATGCTTTGAGACAAAGAGGTGGTGGGTGATTGTCAATTTCAAGTTTTAAAAACATCAATGATTTGAAATCACTTAAAAAAAAATTTAGAACTAAATTAAATTCATTTTTATTAGTTTATTAATGATTTAATTTTCTTTTTAAAAGCTCATCCAATGAAAACTTGACACAATTATTTGTGTTTAGTTTTAGCTTAGAATAATTATAGGTTTAGCATATTTTAAAGATATTTTAGATTAAAGTTATTGGGTTTCAACAAAAAAAAAACAAAACAAAAACAGAAAATTAGGAAAATTATTCTTAATTTGTTGAATTAGAATTTTAAAGCTTTTTTTCCTCATAAAGTTAAAAAGTAATTTTTAGTGGAGAGGAAAATATAGTGAATGATGCAAAAGAATGCCACTTTAATCACTTTCTTCAATACAATTTGCATTATTAGATTTTTTTAAAAAATAAATAAATAAGTAATGTATAAACTTACCCTATAAATCATTTATTTTTCACCAAAACTTAGAGAGGTCCCTTTCTCAATTGGACCATCATAAAAACAAAAGGGTTAGGTTTATTACAACTTGCAACAATTACGAGACCATTGTTGAACAGTTGTCTACTAAGAAATAAGAGCGTGTTATGACATCATTAGTCATTAATCATTAGTGTCAGTTCAATTTATAAAATTCAATTCTAGATTGTAGGTCCCCTAAATAAAAATAAAAAATTCATCAAATTTACTTTAAAAACATAATATCCTTTCTCAAAATATTACTCAAGTGGGCCAATATTTTAAATTTAAAAGAAAATAATGAACGAAGAAAAAGTTTGGTTTTTTATTAATGAAAATATAATAATATACCAATAAATGAGTAATAAAAATAGTTTAAAACGTTTTAAATGGTTAATAAAAGTACAATTATTGGTATTGGGACACTTGTACGTGGCACAACAAAAACATTTGACTTTTTCTTTTTTCTTAATTCATAAAAAGCATTTTAAAAAACACAAAATAAAATAAAATATAGAAAAAAGCATTTCACATGCATCACATGGTTTATGTGATTGTCATGCATCACATACACCCATTCAAAATTCTCTCACTTTTCATCCTCATCCTTTTACTTTCATTTATTTTCAATTTGGTCCTTCGAAAACTTTCAAAACTACAATCAGGGTCTGCCCTCTTGATCGAGCCCGGTTTCAGTTTCAGTTTAAGATAACGAAAGGGAGACAAACAAAGTCCTCCAACAGTTCATATGTTTAGAGAACTTCCCCCCTATCAAGGAGAGGAAAAGCTATGTGAAGGAACTAATACTAAGAACCTTACACGGAAGTTTTCCGATTTCTAGCCTATGGTATAGATGCCATCTTCGATGTAGGCGATGACCATAGTCCACAATCTCAAAAAACTTGATAATGCAGAAGAAAATGAAACATATCTATGAACAAGAACATCAAGAAGAACACAGCACAAACTGGTCTGAGCAAAGAACCACATCATGATCAGATAGAAAGTGTATCCATTTTCATCAAAATAATGAACACTGATACAGATACAGATACAGGCATTGTTTGATGGTGAATCTAAAGAGTAATAAAGAACAAAAGAATTTGAGGGGCTAACATTAAAAAGAACATATAACAGTTTGGGAGATTCTTGATGAACAATAAGAACAGTGGACCATCTTGATTATGCAGAATAGTAACAATAATAACAATGTGTACTATAAACAACATAAATTCTCTTCTCCTACTTTGTTAATTCATACTAAATACTTATTTCCCTAACAATAATACCTGCTCTCTCTAAATCAAAACTTCTGTATGCACTACGTTACTGTAGTTCTTGTGCTACCCAACTGTTGATAGAGGATGTAACGGAGTTGAATCCCGCGAAATTGTGGCTATCAACTCTTCCTTCGTCAACTGCTCCGATCCGGGGGATTTGATCGTAAACGTGTGCAAAACTGTATCGTTTACTTCAACAGACAGTTTTGAATCAACAACATTGATCTGTGCATTTTTCATTGCCTTGATAACTCTTGATGCAGGGTGTGACTCTAATGGGCAGCTAACCTTAACGACGACTTCGTCATTACCTGCTTCGACGTCGATGTCAACGTCAAGGAATTGATCTTTGTTTTCAATTTCTGGGTTCGTTTCCGAAGGGGTTGCTTCACTTGAGGTGACGCCGGATTGCTCCCTTTCATATTCCATGGCTTTCACTTTAGACTGAAGCTCATTAATGTAAGCAATGGCATCTCCTAGCAGTGAAGCTTTGTCCATCTTCGAGATATTGGGTACAACAGCTCGTAAAGCATAGAACCGCTGGTTCAACTTCTCACGACGCTGCCTCTCTGCCTCCACGTGATTTAGTGGTTCCTCCCTTCCATTTGCAGGCTTTCTGCCTCGTTTGCGTGGTCGTCTTTCGTCGGTGCCAGGTCCCTCTTCTTTGCATTGAGGCTCTATATCTAATTGTTCAGAATCTGCACCTACACGGTTCATCACAGAAGGCGGCCTTGGTGTTGCTACAGAGAAATCGATTTGCATTTGGGCTATCTTCTGTGATTGATAGGGATTGAGACAAAATTCATCTCTAACTCCATTGACAAGCTGCTCGTGATTATTATTTACCGGTGGAGTTGGAGAGCCTAAAGTTTCGGTAGGATTCCCCGGTTTGAGAAGATGAACATGCCCCAAACTCGGATTACGAATGCCATTTCGAGGGCTTTGAAACTGAATTCTACCTCCATTGGGACATACTTCCCATGCCCTTTCATCCATCTTCCTAACCGCCAGTTTCTCTCGGAAATGAGATCGACCCACGTTCCCCGAGTTCAAACTCTGCCCAAAAACCTTAGGAACCCCCCCTCCTCCTCTTTCTGCAATCCCCAAACTTGGAAACAGGGCGTTTTCATCCTTCCTTTCAGCCATCCTCGACATCACAGCTGATGTCCTCACTCCATCAAGCGAACGTTGAGATGAAAACAACGATCGAATCAAATGCACCAACTCTAAGCTCTCACTCACAGATCTCACAGAACCCAATTCAACTACTCCAACATCAGTTGGCACCAAAACGACGGTCCGAATCCCAGCCGACTTAGCCAGATAGGACCTCACACAATACTCAGCAGGCGAATTGAGCACATCCAAATGCCAGACATGTTTCCCAGAAGCGAAACACTTCCCAGGACCCCCCTCTCCACCAGGAAAGGAGAAGTACATGGAAGCAAGAAAAAACATCTCAGTATCAGTAACTCTATCCAATCCAAGAGCATAATTATCCTCATCAGACCCACCAAACAGTGTATGAAGCTTCTGCAATGCCCTTTTCTTCATCCTTTGTTGGCTCTCATCTTCAAGCTCAAGGCTAAGAATCTGCGTAGCTTCAGTTCCTTCACCATCCCTAGGATCCCTAAACGATCCATCTCCCCATCCCAAAACCCATTGACCAGATTTTGAATGGGAAAGTTGCCAGAAAATTGCATAATTCCAACAAAAATTAGAAGCGTTGGGTGTCTCTACCAGATCCGCAAGCTTGTTCTGCAAATTATCATCATTCCTCACAGCCATAAACAGATTCTCATTCGAAACAGAGCAAGACATCATGTAATTAAAAGCACGAGTACCCAAAACAGCAGCCACCACAGTCTTATCCTCATCCTTCCCACCCACACCCCGCAACCCATCTTCAATCTTCATCTCTAAAACCCAATGATAATAACAATAATCACACACACGCTTCAAAATTAGAAAACCCCAGATCAAATCTCTATCCAAAAACCTAAACCCTCTACCAAGAACACCATCGCTAAAACATTGTCTAGATCTCGAAAATTAGGAAAAATTAAGAAAACCCCAGATCAACCCAACACAAAAAATGAATCACCCAACAACCAAGGAATCAAAAGAGACAGAAATAGCGAAGAATCAACCGGTACTGAGCAAGCGAAATGCGCTGAAAAGAAGACGATGCGATGAGAGAAGAGGTTTGAAAGAAAGTTGGAAGGCTATAAACATTCCCAGGAAAGCGACAGCCTGAATCGAGGAGAAAGATTTAATTTAATTTCTCA